ATTTCTGGAGTGCAATGCACTCTGCGCCTGTCCTGAACACAGCCTCTCTGCCAGAGATCCAGGAAGGAGCCTCCAAGCCAGCTGGGACATGCCAGTTGCCATGTGGTCTAGGTGGTCGCCAACAGCCCTGAGATGAGCAGGTTCTGGGATGCAGCACGGGGTAGGTGGCACGGTTTGGATGTTTCCACCTCATCTGATACAATCTATACTACTGAGCACACGAGAGGAGTGCTGTTCAATAGGAATGACCCGTGATGCCAGGTTAATTCTGTTTACAAAAGAATAAATATTATAGCAGTGTCTTATAAGAGAGAATCAATAGCTTCCTTTTGCTGGGTTATCCCTTCATGTCTTTGAAAATTGATTTGCCGCCCCCTCCACCCCCCACTGCACAGCTATCTGGTTTTCGGGGTGACGGGGGGGTCAGGCGGTTATCGAAGTATATCTGAATTTACAATATTAACGACTCACTACGACGTGGCCGCAGGTTCACGGTGAATTAATTATCTGTTTAAGAAGCCATGAAGAAATCAATCAATGAAAATTTCTCACTCTTTTAAGAGCAAGGGAGCTTGTCAGTTGTTGTTGTTTTTTTTAATGTGCTGTACTTAAAGGGACAGGAACTGTCTCTGAGGGCGTGCTGGAGACATCTGCAGGTGTGAGAGGTGTAAAGCAAGCCAGTGGTTGGCAAGGGGCTCTTTCCCACTCACTGATCTCTCCACAGGACACGGGTCCGGGCTTCATTTCAATGGGAGCAGAGTTAGGCCAACACTGGCCTTGTCTAGACCAGGATTTAAAGACGTGATGATCATGTGCTAACACGTTTTAAGTCTAGTGTGCGCAAGTCACATGGGTGTGGTGTCTTCGCTGCAGAGTTGACTCGTGTTAGAACCCAAGCCCTGTCCACACCTAAAACTCCTGAACTCGAGTGTGATGGGGCTTAGAATTCTAGGTAGCCGGCCCATTATGGGGTGTAGGCCACAGCTTGAGTTGTCACCCTCCGCTGCTGCCGCTGTCACTCTGGGGGGGGAAATCCAGTCACTCTGCTCCAGGGTGATTTCATAGTGTGGCACTCTCGCTCTCACTGGACTCACTTGTGTGTCCATGACGGCAGTTAACGCCGCCGAGAGGACATAGCCAGTGCCATTAGCAGGTGCTAAGATACTCCAGATGCGGCCCAGCGCAGACCCTCGGATTCAGCCAACCCAGCCTAGCCCATGCACAGTACATGCTGCCTTAGCTGGACTCCATGTCTAGAACATGTTAGCTAGCAGCAGCCCTTTTATCCTGGTCTAGACAAGGCCACTAGGTACTTTTAAACACCCCCACGCCCCAGCGATGAGGTTGTGTAAGTGCCTATGTAGGTTTAGGGCAAGATCCTGTAGGAGCCCCTTCGTTATAGGGGAGCCTGTATGCAGTGAAAGATGCCCATGTTACAGGCTGCACATCTCTATGTAGCTAAGCTTGTGGGGCCCTTTGCTCAGCCCAATGGCATTTCTCTGTTTGTCTGTAAGGCGACGAATGCTGCATCTGATCAATTCCACAAGCCCAGGGAACGGTCTCAGCACCAGTGGACGGAACCCTAGTGACCTGGGGAACCAAAGGGAACTACACTTCGTGCTAGTGTAGATGCATATGCCCCTCTTCCCGTGCACCTGCCCCACACTGCACGTGCCCCTCATCCTGTGCCCCTACCCCACATTGCACCTGCCCCACATTGCATGTGCCCCTCACCCTGTGCATCTGCTCCACATTGCATGTGCCCATCTCCCGTGCATCTGCCCCACATTGCATCTGCCCCTACCCCACATTGCACATGCCCCACATTGCACATGCCCCTCACCCTGTGCAGCTGCCCTACATTGCACGGGCCCATCTCCTGTGCACCTGCCCCACATTGCACGTGCCCCTCACGCTGACCACCTGCCCCACGTTGCCCCTCACCCTCCCAGCAGGCCCCTGCCCCATGTCGCACATGAACACGGACTAAGCAGTAAGGCCAAGCAAGCATGGGGCATTGAAGTCCTGACAGATCTGGATGAGGAGAGCCCAGCTGCAAGCCCTGACTGCGCTAGAGAGAAGAGTAGAGAAGCCACGGGGTGAGGCGGAAAGCTGTAATCCCCTAGCAATCCCATCCAAAAATGGCCTCCTCCCAACCCCATAATTCTACTGGAACAAGCCGCGCGGCGTCCGCGCCAGGCACACCCATCGCTGTACCAGAGCGGAGAGCAGAGCCCATATTGACACAGGAGCATCTGTGGCAGTAATTGTCATGCAGCCTGGCAAATTGCTGAAATGTGTGAACCTCTCCAGCCACCCAGCGCGGCAGCAGCCACACAGCCAGCCCAGGCCAGGCCTGCCCAGTGACTACGTGGCTTGGAGACTGATGTGTGCCGCAGGGGGATGCTGGAGGCAGGGTGTCCAGGGCCAACTGGGGTGTCTGTATGTCTGAGTGCTCTCCCCGCTCAGCATGACCTGGCAAAGGGACATGGCACAATGAGATTCATGCCAGTATTGGAGAACAGCTGGGATTTCTATACTGTACCCAGCCACCCTCCATACTGGACCCCTGGCTGTAACCCACCCGCTCTCAGCCTAGGATCCATACTGTATCCCTGGGTCTAACCCACCTGCTTCTACTCTGGGGTCCATACTGCACCCCTGGGTCTAGCCCACCCACTCCCAGCCTGGGATCCATACTGAACTCCTGGGTATAACCTACCCACTCCCAGCCTGGGATCCATACTGTACCCCTGGCTGTAACCCACCTGCTCCCAACCTGGGATCCATAGTGTACCCCTGGCTAACCCACCTGCTCCCAGCCTGGGATCCATACTGTATCCCTGGGTATAGCCTATCCGGTTCCGGCCTGGAACCCATACTGTACCCCTGGCTGTAACCCACCCGCTCCCAGCCTGGGATCCATACTGCACCCCTAATTTCCTGAGGTGTAGCTCCACTGTTATCAATGGAGTACTCTTGATTTATACCGGTATGAGTGTGTGTGTGTGTGTGAATTCCCACTGTCACCCTGTCACTTGTGCGGCCGTTCCCACCAGTGCCGAGCCAGTGGGAGGTGATTGCAGTTCAGAATAGGCGTGTTATGCCCCCACTTTGCCCTGGGCTCTAGTGGGAGGGGCTGTGCCAGGTGCAGGGCCATGGGGCGTAGTGTACAGCTCCCGGAGTCCCAGTGTTTCTCAGAGAGCTTGTTCTTGAGGCAGCTCATGTTCTCCAGGGAAAGTGCACCCCAAGTTTTATGCCCCATCACTATGCCTGGCATGATGTGACTAGACCGCTCCATCTGCAGAGAAGGTGCGTGGCTAGCAGCAGTAACCCTGTGATGGGCTATATATCCCATCCTGGCTCTGAAAGGGTTAAAGTGGGCCTGAGAGACCAATTAACCTCCTGGCTGCCCCTGGAGGATGGGCCAGGCTCAATTAAAGATGAATTCCAGCTGGGGAGGAGCAGGGTGGGTGGTACAAAGAGAGGAAGTGTGCCGCAGAAGTGGATTAGAGGGAAAGAGTCTTGCAGCCCCTCTCTGGGAGTAAGGGAGGAGTGAGTGTGTGGGCTGGCTCTGGGCTCCTCTCCTGGGTAGAGAAGTTTGGCAGGAGACCAGGAGAGACCAGGAGCAGCCGCTGGGAGTGGGGCAGGCTCTGGTGGTAAGGAGCCCTGATGAAAGGACAAGGCATGGACTTCCATGGAAAGAGCTGTGACCCTAACGGCATCCCAATGCCAGAGGGCCAGGGGCTCACTGGTAGCTGGTCGTGCGTTTCAGCTGGCCTGACTATTTCAGTGGGCCCCAGTTCATTAGTGTCATCAGCTCCATATCGCCTTCCTCACAGCTCGGATGAACTTTGCTTTGGGGCGCCCCCTCCAGCAGAATCAATTGCAGAAGGTCCCTGACTATAAAAGAGAGGGGCAGAGAACCCCAAGTGATCCATCCCCTAAGAAGACCAAGGAACTGAGCTCTTTGGACTTGGTGGTAGATCCTGACAGGGGGTACGCACCCATCATGATGGAAGGTGGGAAACTCTCTGGAACAAAGGCTGGGTCTTCTTGCGTTAAGTCTGAGCTTCTGGAAAGCATTTTTCATGCCATGTCTAACTCTCCTCTTCATACCTGAACTCACTTAAAATCCTCTCTCCTTTTGTTACTAAGCTTGCTTTGCTTTTAATCGAAACCAGCCCAGTGCTGCAGCTGAATCCAAGTGATTGTTGACTCCAGTTAAGGGGACATTCTGTGCATTTGGTCTCCTTAGAGGAGCAAACACCTTATTATTCCTCTGAATGGCCCAGCAAAGAGCTGGACATGGCAGTGCCAGGGCTGGATTAACCCATAGGCTAATAAAGCTATAGCCTTAGGGCTTCTTATTTTTAGGCCCTACTGTAGGCCCTCCATTCCATATTGAAGTAACAGCTGAACGACGGTAACGGGGCCATCGGAAATGTTTTGTCTCATTAGATATTGCTTTGTACAAATTACTCCATCAAGACTGTAAATTCAATTTATAGGGTTGTGATTTTGTCTTTGTGGGCTAAGTAAGTGTTTGTCGGCCCAAGCAATATTGAACTTTGTACACAGTAGGCCAGGGGTGGCCAACCTGTGGCTCCGGAGCCACATGCGGCTCTTCAGAAGTTAATATGCGGCTCCTTGTATAGGCACCGACTCCGGGGCTGGAGCTACAGGCGCCAAATTTCCAATGTGCCAGGGGGTGCTCACTGCTCAACCCCTGGCTCTACCAAAGGCCCTGCCCCCACTCCACCCCCTCCCACCCCCTCCCCTGAGCCTGCCATGCCCTCACTCCTCCCCCTTTCCCCCTTCCCCCCAGAGCCTCCTGCATGCCAAGAAACAGCTGATCAGGAGGGACGGGGAGGGAGGGGGAGGTGCTGATCAGCGGGGCTGCCGGTGGGTGGGAGGCACTGGGAGCCGGCTGGGAGCACAATGACATATTACTGTGGCTCTTTGTCAATATAAATTGGTAAATTCTGGCTCCTTCTCAGGCTCAGGTTGGCCACCCCTGCAGTAGGCCTACACTGGACAACAGAAACAATGTCGAAGAAAGGAGGATGACAGAAATTGAAGGAGGCCAAAGAAAGATGGCAAAGACAAGATGTAGTGCTGAAAGGTTCTCCTTCTCTCCTAATGTTTTTTTCTCCTACTAAGCCTGGTGGTGAGGAAGTCCAGGCGAATACCAGCCCAAGTGAACCTGCTGCGTCAACACCTGATGAAAAGGACCAGTCTCCTGTGTGACTTCTCTAGCTGCAGTTTCACCCCACTTCTCTGAAGAGTTTCCCAGTGATAGTAATACAAAAATATCCTTCTCTAACCATCCAGGTGAGTGGGAAATGACTTCTCAAGATCTCATTGCATATTGGACTGAGAAGCGTCCACAGAAATATCAGAATCTAGATGCTGACTTTTTATTGACAAAGCGAGAGTACACCAATCAGAATCGTTATCTGACCAAATCAGTGTCTGAATATGTGAAGCCTAACAAACAGATTGGCAGGTGAGAATGGCTCATCTATTCTCCTTCTAAGAAGAAAGTGTACTGTTTTTATTGCTGCCTGTTTTCTGATACCAAAAAGTGGGGAATGTTCTGCAAAGGCTTCAGTGATTTGAAGAGTACTGCATACATTATCAATCATGCAATGAGTGAGCAGCATACATTGTCAGTTAGCAGCTACCATGCCCAAAAGAAAGTTAATGACAGAATTAATATCCAAATGGAAAACCAGTTTTTCGAAGTGCGTGCTTATTGGAAGAACGTTCTCACATGTGTAGTTGAAGCCATAGTGTTTCTTGCTGAGCATGGTCTTCCATTCCGTGGCTCAGATGAGACTGTTGGATCGAAACACAATGGCAATTATCTTGGCATTCTAGAGCTAATTGCTAAGTATGATCCTTTCTTAGCTCAGCACATCAATGAACACGCAAATCATGGAAAAGGCCATACATCATATCTATCAAAGACTATTTGTAATGAATTAATTGCACTGCTGGCAAAAAACACACTATCAGCCATTGTAGATGAAATCAAAGATGTGGGATATTTTTCCATTGATTCAACACTGGATATGTCACATGTAGATCAGCTGACTGTCATCTTGCGTTATGTGCTACCCAGCAGACCAGTTGAGCATTTCATGACCTTCTTAGACACCACCAGCCACACAGGGGAGAAACTTGCCTTGTACCTACTCGATTTCCTGACCAAAAATGAGATTGACATCAGCCTTTGTTGTGGCCAAAGCTATGACCATGCAAGTAATATGAGTGGCAGATATTCAGGGATGCAGACAAAGATAGAGGAGCGCAATGCTTTGGTTGATTGCATACCATGTGCTGCACACTCACTCAACCTTGTTGGCCAGTCTGCTGTGGATTATTGTGTTGAAGCAGTTTCTTTTTTTGGATTTGTCCAAGAATTGTACATTTTTTTCTCTGCATCAACCAGTCATTGGATGATTCTTAGAGATTCATTACCAAAGGGATGCCTAGTGCAAAACTGCTCTCAGGGACACAGTGAAGTGCCAACGCTGAAGCTGTGAATACAGTTGTTCTGGGATACCCCAACATCCTTGAAGTGCTAGAGAGCATCAAGGAAGATGAATCTCAAAAATCAGCCACAAGAAAAGATGTGAAGTTCCTGAGTGATGCAATATGCACTTTGGAAACTAGTATTTTGTGTGAAGTCTGGAATGATACACTTCAGCCATTCAGCAGGTGCAGTCTAAGCTTGCCAAGTGCTCAAATTGACCTTTCCACTGCTGTAAACCTAATGAGAAGTCTTGAAAATGTTCTTCAACAAATGCGGGATAGTTTTGATGAGTATAAAATTCCGGGGGCTGCAAGGACTGCTAACCATGAGTCTAAGTCAGCCAAATGCCGCAAAAGACAGAAGACATGTGATGATGTAACTGCCCACTCATTCAGTGACAAGGAGGCCTTCAGAGTTAATACCTTTATCACAATCATTGACAAAAAGAAGAGTTCATTAGAACATCAAGGCTTACGAAAATATTGACAAAACCTTTAGAGTACTGACAAATTTTTCACCTAACATTTTAAGTTCCGAAGTCAGTGAAGGTATCAAACGTCTGTGTCAGAAGTACCCAAACGATCTCCCAGTAGATTTAACTAACGAATTTCTTCAATGTGTTGAATTCACATCACTCTCAGATATAGAGAGAAAAGATGACGAAAGCAAATGTATTTGGATATACTGAGTTATCACTGAATCCGATGTGATAGAATGTTCCCAAATGTTGAAACTGCATTACGGCTGTATTTGTCACTAATGATCACTAGCTGTAGTGGAGAACATTCCTTCTCTCTTCTAACAAGGGTCAAAAATGTCCTCCGATCCACCATGACTCAACAAAAGCAACAAGGCATCCTTGTGGCACCTTAGAGACTAACCAATTTATTTGGGCATAAGCTTTCGTGGGCTAAACCCCACTTCATCACGAAAGCTTATGCCCAAATAAATTGGTTAGTCTCTAAGGTGCCGCAAGGACTCCTCGTTGCTTTTGCTGATACAGATTAACATGGCTACCGCTCTGAAACCTGTCATGACTCAAAAGCATCTCAGTGCTTTGTCCCTCTTGAGCCTTAAGAATGAAATTGTCAGGACTTTGAATTACGATGACACCATTCAAGACTTTGCCACAGCTAAAGCTAGAGGGGGAAATGGTTTCTTTGAAGAACTGAGTGTAGTGAGAGTAGAATAAACTTGTGAATTTTACATAAATAAATAATATGTAAATATGTATGTAGAGAAATGTTTGGACTTCCTAATTTTTGTGTATTATGTAATTCATACTTCGGCCCTTCCCTCCTATTAGCCTTAGGTCCCTCATAACCTTAATCGGTCCTGGGTAGTGCACATGGTTTGGGGGAAATTTGGGCCTGGGCTGGGGTCGTTTTGCCAGGTGTAACCAGAGCATGAATGGGGCGTAACTAGCAGGCTGCTGGAGTCAGAGGTGGTGCATCAGGGCTGCTTATCACAGACACTCAGTCCATGCTTGTCTGCAGGCTGTTGTGTCCCGGCTGTGAGCCAGAGCAGCAGAGCATTTAAGGCACCCAGAGATGCAGGGGAGGTGATGACACAACCCTTTGTTGGTCTGCCAAGAGTCCAAGAGGTGTCCTGGCCCTGAGAGAAGGGAGACCTTAGAGAGGCCTGCTGACAGGCAGCAGTAGGAAGGGGTACAGGGAGGCAGCAGCAAGGCATCTGATGGAGCAGATCTTGGCTGCTGGTTATAGGGCCCTGGACTGGAACCCGGTGTAGTGGGAGGGCCCAGGGCCGCACAGGGGGGGGGGGCAAGTGGGGCAATTTGCCCTGGGCCCCTCAGGGGCCCCCACAAGAATGTTGGAGGCTCCCTCCCACCTCTGCCTTCGCCTTCCCCCATCCCCCGGTGCCTCAGCGCGCCGCGTCCAGGAGCAGCCCTGGACAGTGCTGCAGCGGTGTGGCTCGGGTGGGGCCTGAGGTCCTCCCACTCGGAGCCGCGTGGTAAGGGGGCGGGGCTGTGAGCTCCGGCGGGCCGAGCGGCAGGAGCTCCTGGACGTGGCTCGCTGAGACTCTGGGGGAGGGATGA